AGTTAGTATATTTGTCAATTTTTATCATTGTACTTAAATTACCACTCCTCTATCAGTTTGGCATACTGTGGTGACTTACATGATGCTGTGATGCTGGAAGCTATGCCCATCTAGTATTTTGATACCAGCAGGGTCATCCATGGTCAACAGGTTTCAGTGGCGCTTACAGACGAACACAGACTAGGAAGAAGGAGAACCATACTACTTATGCAAGTTTGGTGGGGGTGGTTATGTGCCGTGGAGTCCGTTCCAACTCATAGCAACTCTGAGTAGGATTTTTGAGGCTGTAAATCTTTATGGGAGCAGAAAGGCTTATCTTTCTCCTGTGGAATGGTTGGTAGTTTGGAACTGCTGATTTTGAGGTTAGCAGAGCGACTTGCACCTACTATTCTAAAAGTTTAGCCATTGTAAATCTAATGAATAGAGTGTAACCTTATCAGATATAGTGCCAGAAGATTAAAACATGATGAATAGCACCAGAATATCGTCAGATACAGTGCCAGAAGGTAAGTCTCTCATGTTGAAGGCAGTAAAATGCTATGGTGGAAGAACTGCCTCTTCAAAGTAGAGTTGACCTTAATGACACGAATAGAGTACATTTTTGGGGACCTCTATTTGCTGATGGGGCACAACTCAAAATGAGGAGAAAGAGCTGTAAAGATTTATTAATAATAGGAACATGGGCTGTACAAAGTATAAATCTAGGGTACTTGGAAGTTGTACCAAGTAAAAAAAAAAGAAATGGAATGTATAAACATTGATAGTCTAGGCATTAGTCAACTGAAATGGACTGGTATTGTCCATTTTGAATCTGACAGTCATACAGTGTACTATGCTGGGAATCACAAATTGAAAAGGAATAATGTAGCATTCATCATCAAAAAGAACATTCCAACATCTATCTTGAAGTTCAAAGCTGTCTATAATAGGATAATATCCATACACTTATATAGTTAATAGCATTAATATAATTTAAAGGCCAGTTATGATGGAATTGAGAAATTCTACCTACTTGTTCAGTATGAAATTGATCAAACATGCAATCAAGATGTACTGCTAATTACTGCTGATTAGAATGCAAAGGTTTGAAACAAAGAAGGATTGTTGTTGTTAAGTGCCGTTGAGTGGATTCCAACCCTTAGTGACCCTGTATAGGGTTTCCAAGGAGCAGCCGGTAAGCTTGAATCATCAACCTTGCAGTTCAAATGACTTTGCAGTCTGACACATTAGCCCATAGCGACATACCAGGACTCTAAGAAGAAGGATTGTTGTTGTTGTTGTTAAGTGCCGTCGAGTCGGTTCCGACTCATAGCGACCCTGTACAGGGTTTCCGAGGATTAGTGGTTGGAAAATATGGCCTTGATGAAAGAAATTATGCTGGATAGAATTTTGCAAAACCAATGACTTATTCTTTGCAAATACCTTTTTAAAAACAATATAAAAGATGATTGTACACATGAACCTCGCCAGATAGACGATGCAGAAATCAAATTGACTACATCTGTGGGACAAGGCAGTGGAAAAGCAACATATCATCATCCAAAGCAAAGTATGGAGAAGACTGTGGAACAGACCATCAATTGCCATATGCAAGTTCAGGCTGAAGAAAATTAAAGCAAATCCATGAGAGCATAAATATGACATTGAACATGTCCCATTGAATTTAGAGACCATATTTAATGAGGTTCAAACCAATCTTGCAGTCCAGTGCAACATCCCACAGCTCCAAACCAGGACTCCAAAATACCTCAGAGCATGGCTGAACCTAGATGATATTGGTGGTGGTGGTTGTGTGCCACCGAGTTGGTTCCAACTCATAGTGACCCTAGATAGGGATTCCAAGGCTGTAAGTCTTTATGGGAGTAGAAAGCCTCATCTTTTTCCTGCGGAGAAACTTTGTGGTTAGCAGACCAGCTCGTAACCCACTATATTACCAGGGTTCCTTCTCTATAATTGTATAGAAGATGTGATTTTGTAAGTGGGATATGGGGTTTGGGAATCTTTTCATTATGCTGATATTTTGAACATAATGGTGTATTTCTATTTCTTGTCTCTGATCTATTGAATTTCCTATCCTTGACTGCTAACAGTTGTGACATTTTCTCAAACTAAAACCAAAGGAAAAATTCCCTTTTATTTCTTGGAAGAAGATTGCAGTTCCAACTGAATACAAAAGTTAGTGGTGAAATTAATCTGTTCAGGTAGAATATGCAAATTTAAGAGAAAGGAGCACGAAAACTGAAGAAAGGAGCAGCCTGGCCATTTTAAACTGTTTCTCTTCTCCAGCACTAAAGATGGGTAAGGCACATATTTAGTCACTTGAGCCTGACAGTTTTTGGTGCCAAGAACTTCCCGCCTCTTTCCTCCCTTCTACTCTTAAAATATATTTTAAACAGCCAAATGCAAAGGGAACTCACCATATCTTCATGAGAGAAGGAAGCTGTGCATTTCTCTTACTGTATTCTGGGATATTTTTAGCAGATTTAAAGAACAGCTTTTGACAATGGCAAAATAGGGCTCTTTGAGAACTAGTTATTTAAACCCCTGCTGAATGTATCCTGACAAAAATTAGAGCGTTTTATTAATTAGATAGCCTGAGGAGAGAATTAAATCTTGAGTCACCACCCTGTGTGCCAAAATAAGTTGAAATCTTCAAACACAGTCTTGTAATTAGATGGTCCCAAGGAGAGAGCCAGAGTTGTCACTATTCATAGTAGTGAACCTGGCTAGTGACATGCATTAGTAACAGAAAACTGCAGCAGCATGTTCAGAAGGACAAAGTAAAGATGGGGTGTCACACGAAATATGTGTGCTTGACTTCATTCTCCGAGTCACCAGAGCAGTGAGCTGAAATTTACTGACTGGAAAAACTGGAGCCTGTGACATTATCTTCCCATTTATTCTGAAGCGTTTGTGCCATTCTGTGAACAAAGGTTAAAAAAGAAACAAGCTAAATTGCTCCACTACTTTCTTTAGGACTAAAAAAAAAAGAGGAGGGGGGGGTTTGATGAAAAATCAATGGCATTCTTTCCTAGTCCCCAGCAGGCAATATTTTTACCTAATAATTTGTACTGGACCTTCGGTGAGTTCCATACAACTTCAAATATTCTCTAAAATAAAGAACTCTGTTGTAGCTGCCATAAATGAGAATGCTTACTTCTCAAATATCTAACATTTTTTCAAATCATTTGCATTTTAAAGGTCTAAGGAATTTTAATCACTGATAGGCTTTAACCCACGTTTCCGCATATGTGCATAAGTGTACACCCTCGACTTTGCCATCCTCATAAAAATTCTCTCTTAAGCTCTTACTTTCATGTGTTTTTAAAATGCCTTAGCTCACCCGCAGCTCTCATCAGCCTGCCTTCCCAAGAGGTCCCCCTGCCTGGGAAGATGAAAGGCTCTCTTCACTCCAGTCGGGGTTCCACATTAATGGAAAATAACTAAAAGATGGGAAAGTAACTGAGTATCATAAACTGACCTTGAGCTGCCATGATGTATTTCCTCCCCAGGGCTTTTTCAGCTCTCATGTGGTCCTCATTTCCATTTTTAAAAAGTCACCAAATACTCAAATTTCTTTAATTAAAATACATTTTCCTGGTTTATACCTACCCAATCAATATGGGATATGAGGCACCAACTAACTTCATGATATATTCATTTTATATATTATGAGTTTCTTGACTGGGCAAATGTCATGTATTATTTTTCTCTGTGACAATCTGGTTAGGGACACAGATTCTGAAGCCAGACTGCCTAGAATCAAAGCCTGGCTCTCTTCCTTATTCATCTTGAAGGTACTTAACCTTTCCGTGTCTAGTTTCCTTTTCTTGTCTATAAAATGAAAATAATACTAATAGCTACATCAAAGTGCTATTGCAAATATTATATGAGTCAGTATTTGTTTGGGTAAAATACTCTATATGTGTACATTTTTATTATTTTTGTTGATGTTGTTAGGTGCCATCGAGTCAGTACCGACCCGTAGCAACCCTATGCACAGCAGAATGAAACACTGCCCGTTCTGGGCCAACCTCACTATTGTTGCCATGCTTGAGTCCATAGATGCTGCCACTTGGCCAATCTAAGATTATGGTCCCTTAGCCTACTAGCATCAGGACCTCTCTACCTCCACGAATCAGGAATAGCACAGAGCTGGTTCCTATGAGGTGGAGGTCAGACTTACCACCACTCTACATTTTTTTCACTATTTCTGCCACCAGCTGTCCTCACTTAACAGTACTCTTGACTTCTCTGCTGGAATTTGCACTTTGATCATTTGTTTCCATGACCACACAGAACTCACAGACCATACTCTGGAGTCAGTGGCTTATTAGGGAAGTAACAGGCTAGAAAATGGAATCAGGATAATTTGGAATTAACAGGATGCAACTCAGGAGCATGATATAGTTCTTTAATCAGGACAGCTTCCAACCAAGACAGCTGTCAGCTTCTTGGCTGTGTCTGAAGGCAGGGAGTTCTTCATTCCATTCTGCCTGCCTGCAGGCATTTTCTAGACCTTGGACTCCATTTACAAGTACCTGGAGGCACCCTACTCCCCAGAAAGCCTCTTGCCCAAAGATGCTCAGTTTCTCACTGACTCCAGGCAAGCTCACTGCAGCTGCCTGGCGCTGGTCTCCTAGTTCTTGCCACATGAGCTGCTGAAACTTGTACTGCAGCACCATCTTTTTTTGTTTTTCTTGTAAAATCAAATGACTACTTCATTAAATGAGTTATTTTACCCAATATGAACATCAATATAATTACAATTGTAAAAAAGTTTTTATAACAATGATTACTGAGTTTCAGATTTCCAAATCAGAGTCAACTGTACATTTTCACAGAATTGTCTTTGCATGAAGCCCCAAAGGGAGCAGCATAAAAAAAAGAGTGTTTCTGTAGCCCCTTTATTTTTGCTGATCCACAGTTTGTTAGAAAAGCACCTGCAGGTTTGCTATCTAAGGTCTGAGACAGAAAACTCAAAGGTGTTATGAATTCACCTATAAACAACTTTCTGCGTGAATATCAGCCAATTCTGGAGGAGGTGGAGTCTTAGAATGTTTGCTCTCAAAGTGCTGCTTGAAAGTCTTAGGGTCTGGTATTTGTGTCTTACAGATAGTGCAGCTGTGGTCATGTCCTTGTTTCTTCTTTTGTCCAGCTTGCTTTTTAGCATTACTCTGCTGAGACTGAATCTTCTGTTGCCCACGAGCTTTACAGGGCTGGGTTAGTCCTGTATCAGAGAGACAGCGGCAGCAGCGTGAGAGGGCTGGGGGAGGTCGCTGGAGGCAGAGGAAGTGGGGAGGGCACCCAGCCCTGCTGCACCATCTTGCATTGTCTGGTGCAGTCTCTCATCATCTCCAGTGATGTTATTCTCTTTCTGTCTGTCTCTCTCTCCCTTTCAGTCTAGGATGCTCTCAGCTCAAGACATACTTTGTTTCAGGCTCTTGAAGGTAGTGAGGGCTCCACAAACCTTTGTGTAATTGGCTCTTATAAGCCTAGCAGGATGGCAAAAGTGACCAATCCCTTTGGTAGACCGCAATCATTTAATTTTCATATTGACTGCAAAGACACTTAATGCTATTGGGTAATTTCATGCACCCTATTTGCATAGTGGTTGAATCGGGCTGCTAACCTCAAGGTCAGCAGTTTGAAACTACCAGCTGTTCCAT